AATTGAATAAATATGTAAATGCTTTCGAAGTTGCAGAAACAAAAAAAAAAAAAAAAAAAAAAAAAATCAAAAATTTTGAGATTTCGAGAAATCAAAATTGAGACATAAATGGTTTGACCTAAAATGTGTTATGGAATGGTAGTGAGAGATTTTACAACTTTTCAATATATAAATTACACAATCAGTTGACTATTTGCTTCGCAACATATTGAATTACTGGTCTGAGCAAGTTATGCATGCACATGTGTGCGTTTATGAACCAAAAAAGAAAAGTTTTCTATTGAGCATTATGCAGGTGACTTTTAACCTTCGATCGTTTGTCATGAATTTTTTTTTCTTTTTAATTTTAGGGATCTTTGACGTGCAGTAGATGATATTCTTTTTGCAGTAGAAAATGTATCATCTCAAACTTGTGATTTATCTGTCATCATAAGATGATGCATTGTAATTTGTTGGATCCATTGATATTGGATAATAGATTATCATTTGCAAATGGAATTTGTCTAGCTTTTAAACGAATTAATTACATCTAAAAAATTTGACAGAACAATTCGATCAGTCCATTGAATATTGTATAATTGAAGTAATTAATTTTCTGTATTGATTTTGATTCATTTAAAAATTGTTATCATTCATTTTATTTTATCTAAAAATGTTTTTTCTTTTTCAAAATTATCTCAAATTCAAAAATTAATAACTTATCGATTATCATTCTAAGTAATTTATGAACCTGTTGAATGAACCAATCAGCGTAAATTATTTGCACAAATACCAGGCCACCATGGGTGGAAAAATTTGTCATACTGTATAATGAAGCACTATAAAGTGCGGAATCATCAAAGAAGATGTAACAGTTGCGGAAATTAATCTTTCTATTATTGGAAAACATTTATATTTAGCATTCCTGAAAAAAATTCCTCTGAATACTAATTCCTGTTTAATATATTGTTATCATTCAGTATTTAATGTATTGTTTAATATATAAATGTATTTAATATTTAAGCATATTTAATATATTTAATTTATTTGTTTAAAAATGGTTTCTTCTTTAAAAAATTAGCTCAAAATAAAGTTGTGGGGAAGTTAATAAACGATTAGCATATTTTAAGCATATTTTAATCTTTCTTAACAATTAATATTTATTTATTTTTTCTGACGGAATCGAATTTCCCTCTCTCTCCCTCTCTTTCTCCCTTTCCCTTTCTACTTTCTCAACATGGTTTTATAATTAAATAAAGATTGTTATTTCTATGTAATTTTGATATGATATTATCAATGCTAACAAAAATTTGTTAATTCCGAGATATCTTGAAATTTGTAGTTTTTGTACTAAGATTGTAAACGTATATTTTAAATGGTATATTCAGCGATGAAAGCATTAGAAATGGATTCAGTAGTAATTATTATCGCATATTTTTCATTCTTATATTTATTATTGGTTAAATAATTCAAATGAAGAAAGAATTACTGAATTTTCGATTATTGAATTATTAAATTGTAGAAATTACATATTTATTAAATCTCCATGCTTTCTATTAAAGATTTCATATTCTTCAGTTGTGTAACTTTTGTTTTTCAAATTTTTTCAAACTTTTCCTATAACTTTTCTCAATTACCTTAAATTTTTTAATTTCTTATCATATTGTCAGAAATTCAACGCCTTGGATTCATACAATCGACAGGCAACGAAAATTTCTAATGTCCTAAATTTTAATAAAACTATCAGAATTGAAAAAATATTGACATGCGATAAGTAAGCAATGAAATGGATAAAATAATTCAAATTTCATAGTGGTCATTTTAAATTATAAATAAAACAAAAAATAAAAATTTACATACCAAATATAATTATATAAATAATATAAAAGGCGAAATGATAAATGAACATATAAATAGGAATGCAATTATTCATTCAATTAGTTATTTTTAGATGAGACGGTAATTTGTTCACTTTAAAATATTTAATTGGAAAGTAAAATATTTCATGCAAATCATAATCAATTATCAATCGTAAATGGTTTTTCTAATGCAATCGTCTTCATCAAATGGAAATATTGATTCTCAAACTAAAATTCCTTTAACTACAAGTGGATCATCAATAGGTTAAAGTAAAATTCAGAAAAAAAAACACATAAGAAATTTGTGAACATGAAAATGTTGTATAAATTTTTAAAATTTGAAGACTTTATAATAGTTTTTTTTATTTACAATTAACAGGGAAATTTCCGGTTTTTTTCCAACTCTTAGAACTGTATCGATTATTTAAGTTATTGAATTCTAATGATTAATTTCGAAAATTAGCAAATATTTGACAACAAAATTGAAAAAACGGAGCGCAATCTTTTTTTCTTTCATTGTTGTTATCTTAAATTATTATTAAACAAAAATTATAGAATCAGCACGTGAAATTAGTTCACAAATTTTATCAGACAAAGAAGCTGATAATTTATTGATGAAATTATTCAATTGTATTACGATAGATTCGAGAGATCGGAAAGTGGTAAATGATGTGCTCAAAGATATTGGCATTATTGAACGGATGATTGCACGTTCTAAGTTTGTTAAATTTTCCATTTTGCTATCAATATTTCAAAAAATAAAAATAAAAAAGAAAATATATTTGACATTCTATTCTTTGAGCTTATCAAACTTGTTCATTTTCAATTATTTAACTAAACTAAATAGTGCAATCATTAATTGAACACCTAGTTAGCCAAATTTTTGCCCACTCAATTAATTTGAATTATTAAATTATGCTTTAAAATGTTTAAAATATAAAATATTCCATGTCAACAGAAGTCAATGTACATAATGTATAAAATTGATGGGAAATGGCACGTCGATATTTTTGACTGTATTATGTATTTTTACTATGGCAGCATTGATTTGAAAATATGGTCTTTTGAATTCAAAAATTCAATAAATGAATCCAAAAAAAAATTCAAATTGTTTTCCTCTGCTACATATCCATTTTTTTTCTTTTTTTTTTACAGAGAAATATTGCAAAAAGAATGTACCCTCTTGGAAATTACCGTACCGGTCAATATTTGCGGTGACATTCATGGACAGTATGTGGATCTTTTGCGAATTTTTCAACAGTGTGGTCGACCACCCTATGAGGTTAACAGAGACGAAATGCTTTTTTTTTTTTTTGTTTTTCATCAGAACAAATTTTAATTAATTAAGATATATGCAAGATGAAATGTTCAAAATTTATTTCTGCTAATCACAAATGATTAAACGATGCAATTCGTGTATCTTTTAATTCATTTTCAATATTGACTAAAATATATTACAGCGATATCTTTTCATGGGTGATTATGTTGATCGTGGTCCAAATAGTTTGGAAGTAATATGCTTATTATTACTTTTAAAAATTCGCTTTCCGGCAAAAATTTTCCTCTTACGAGGAAATCATGAATGCTCATTCATAAATCAAGCTTATGGTTTTCGGGATGAATTAGAAGAACGATTTCGAAATGGTGGTTTATTATGGATCAAATTTCAGGTATAAAAGAAATTTTTTTTTTTTGAATAAAAACAACCTATTTATTTCAAAAATGAATTTTTCTAAATTTAATAAAAATCAAATAACTGTTATTTATTGTTGAATAAATTGGAAAAATTTCAGGAGTTATTCAATTGGTTACCATTTGCTGCACGTATTAGCAAACGTATACTTTGTATGCATGGTGGTTTATCACCAAAAATGACAAATCTTGATGCTTTACGACATTTAAAAAGGCCAGTGGATCCAATTGGTGATAGCATAGAAGTTGATTTGTTATGGTATGTTAATACAATAATTCATTTAACGATATTTGAAAGAATGATAATTAAAATTATTATCTTATCATTGATTAAATAAATGCAAATTATAGGTCTGACCCAGATAAAAAAATGTCAAATGGGCCAAATGATCCAAATTTTGGACCATCATTAAGAGGCATTTCGCATCACTTTAATCAAAGTGCCGTATTAGCAATATGTCAACAGTGTAAATTAGACTTTATTGTACGTGCACATCAGGTTGTACAGGTGAGTGTTAAGATAAATTAATCCATAGATTTAAATGCAATTAATCAACATTGGCACAAATATTCAAGTGCAATGTATTGTAGTTATGACACGTAGCATTTGTTATTTATGATATTGGTTATTTAGAAATTTATTGAACAAATTGTGGTCTACTTTCTAATTGCATGAACTTTTTTCGAACTGAGACTTTTTTAATTTTCTTGGGAAAAAATTTCCGAATAAATTTAAAAATTCTTTCAGGACGGCTATGAATTTTTTGCTGGTCGCCATTTGATTACAATTTTCTCGGCTCCAAATTACTGCGGTAAATTCAACAATAGCGGTGCCGTCTTAGCAGTTGATGAAGAATTACGATGTTCATTCGTTACATTAACACCAAGCAAATATCGGTTAAAAGTACGATTAAGTAAGCAAGATGAAGTGGATATTGATGATGCGATAAATGAAGAAGATGATAAAATGTAATTCTCTTTTCCTTTCTTTCTTTTTTTTGTGATTGTTCTATAAATTTTCGCCTCTGTTATTTCATTGTATTATTGTCACTATTATTATTATTATTCTCATTCTTATTATTATTATTATTATTATTATTATTATTATTATTATTATTATTATTATTATTATTATTATTATTATTATTATTATTATTATTATTATTATTATTATTATTATTATTATTATTATTATTATTATTATTATTATTATTATTATTATTATTATTATTATTATTATTATTATTATTATTATTATTATTATTATTATTATTATTATTATTATTATTA